CTGCTATGACATCCAGGTGGTTGTTCCCTTCTTTTTTTTTTTGCTGTCCTTTGTGGTCAGCCGTAGCTCCCTCAGTGTGGGCACACTCAACACAAAGCACTTCGCTGGATGTTGTCCACCTGCTCTGACGTCCAGATGATTGTTATCTTCCTCTGTTCCCCCCCCCCCCCCCCCCCTGTCGTGAACGTGATCCAGGGGCTCGGACCCATTACCATCGTGTAAGACGGTGTGTGGCCGTCTTTTCTTATTTAAAAACACATAAAGAATGATATTTTCGATTTATATGAATGCAAAGAAAAGAAGGCAAAAAACAAAAAAATTGCTCCCCTCTGACATAGACTCGTGGGCAGTACAGCCTGTCCATCCACAGTTCACGGGGGCGAGGTCCCACTAGCAACGGGATAGGATAGAAACGAGTTTGTGGGGCAGTTGAGTGACCCAAACCCTGCCGTGCAGTACTCGTGATCCCACGGTCAGTATCTTACATGTATTACCCAAAAAAGTAAGATCTCTGTCCCCCTCCTCCTCTCCTTAACACTGGGCATGCAAAAAACGCTTCCCGCCAGAATCTTTTCAATCGGTTGGGGTTGTCGCCAACCCCAAAAGAGGGTAGGGTCGGCCATAGGCCCACTGGATAGAAGATTTTCAGTATTTTACTTGCTGTTGTGCAATTATGTCATTGGGTGGAACCCTCCTTCAATCACGGAGTATATGAAGGGGGTCAGGATCATTGCTGACAAAAGTTGTGTATTCCAGAAAATGTGGCGGTTACTTTGTTCACTGTTGTTGCAACCACCACCGTCAGATCATAAATGATCTGATGGCTGGGAAGCACTCCGTCGCGATTTCCTGCGGGGCAACGACTATTTCACGTCCTGCGTTTATAGGTCAACGGGTCACACTAACGTTGCATTATCCACTGAGAAGCCTCCCATAACCAAGTTGCTATGGTGTCTCCTACAACAGGTATTGCACAAGCTGAAATTGTAATTACAGTAGCTCCCCCAAAACTCATTTGTCCCCATGGCAACACATACCCAATAAAAGCTGTTAGAATCATCTATAAAAAATGACCACTCCAAGACACCAGACTAATTCTCGTGACACCAGACTAATTCTCGTCGACTGGCATAACTCCCATAATAAAGAGCACAAAAAAATATGAAGAAAAAAACCACAATAAAGAATAGAGTGGAACTTTCACACCCTTGGTGATGACTTCTTTAAAGTTCTTTTGCCTTTCTCCTGTTTTCTCAGCCCAGAAATTCATAATGAACCTGTCAGCTCGCTGCCACTCAGTGTCACACTGGATCGACCACACTCCTATACGACTGCTGATGTGACTTCGCCCCGGGTGTCCCCGTTCAACAGAGCTCTTCTTCCATGTAAATTTCAATATTGTCTATTTCGGCACATAAAAAAAAAAAACAGGGAGAAGCTGCAAAAACGTCCCCCACCGTTTGAAAACCATAAACTTGCAGCTTCCTGCCAACGCAGAGTGGCAAACTAAATGGACTACAACATAATTTCAAAGGTCTTCTATTTGGCCGATGGGCAGCAACCTCCACGAAAGCGAAGACAATCGCCCTGCACCCTTGATACGTAGAAGGATCAACGATTGCGTATTGTCACCAATGGCCGCACATGGTTGACAACCAAACAGCAGCGGTGTAAATAGGACTGCATGCTCTTATCATCACTCCTGTGCTGTGATGCCCTGCTTTTTTTTTTCTTTCAATGCAACTCTTTTTTTTTTTTTTTTTTGACCACCAGTACTTGGCCCAGCTCCTATCGGCCGCTGCGCTTTCCCGTTAACGCGCCGCACCTTTAGGGCTTCCGGGTACCAGACCACAATGGCTGGAAGCGCCAGCCAAAATTTTTTCAAAACGGTACCCCGGCGCTTCGGCAAAAATCGGCGCGCAGGGGCATTCCAGGCTCGGCATTGATAGCTGGGCCAAGTACTGGTGGTTTAACAAGAGCACCACAAATAAAATAGAACGGGACCCAGGCTTGGCAAATCTCAGTGCACAGTGAAAATGAGGATCACCAAAAACAGGTTCCACCAGTACTTGGCCCAGCTATCAAGTCTGAGCCTGCAGCGACCTCCGGTATGTCGAGCCTGCCCAGCCTGGCAGTACCAGTAGCTGGATGGGCAAAGGCTGGCAAACAAACAACAACGCTGTAGATGTAAATGCAGTTGGATGCATTCTCCTGAGTGCTAATGTGCGCACGTACAGTTTGGGTGTATCAGTCCCATGGCGTTTCCATCAGAATCCAAAAGTAAAATTAGGAAAAAAACAACAAAGAAATGAATCTCAAAGAGGAAAAGAAGAACGATACACGAGGAAAAGAAAAACGATACACGAGTTTGGACCTGAAATTAGTTAGATACATTTGTCTGTGTGCAAGTGTGAGTATGCCCTCAACGAGGGCTGTTCAGTAGATCACGGTATATGCCCTGCCTTGCTGGCAGGGGAATCTAAGAAAAATGAAGCAAAAGCAGAACAAATAAACATCCAGAATCTACCTGAAATACTAGTTAGAAGCATTCCACCAAGAACAGACGTGACCACGACCGCCGCCCAACTCAGAAAGTAGTTCTTTTTTGTTTTTTGGTTCTTTCTTTTCTACGTCGCAATTCTCAGCGACTGGCCGTTCATGTGAACAACCCCCCTCAAATGCGGCCATTCATGTGAATGACCCCCCTCAAATGCGGCGCGCTAACGGGACACGCCCGTGGCCCAGCTAAGTACTGGTGGTTTAAGGTTCCGGCTTCTTTTCCATTCTGGAGAAATCAATCCAGCTCCTATTCCGTTAAAATTGGAACGATACAGAGAATGAAGATTAGCATGGCCCCTGCGCAAGGATGACATGCATAAATCCAGCTCCTATTCTACCGGCAAGTCAGAATGAATTACAAATGACTACTCACACACGCTCCTCCCCTTTATGGTAGGAAGGCCTCCTTTTTTCTTTTTTTTCTTTCTTTATCAGAACCTCTCGGCTCTAGGAAAGCCCAAAGGACAGCATTGACGACTTCCAGAAGGAAGGATGTACCACCCATCACCCCTGCCTAAGTTGGCCGGTCCATCCAGTGCCAGACTAACCCTGGGGAGGTGAACCAAGACATCGGTTTTTGGAAAAAGATGCCCCCCTTTTTTTTTCTTTTTTTTTTTCAGCGGATTCGGATTGCGCTCGTCGAGATCTGGTGGACTCCGCAATAAAACTTTCAATCTTCGATTTTTTTTGTTGGCCTTTCAGAGGGAAGGAGGGGGGGGTCCGGGGGGGAGGAGTATTGGGATGTTCAGGAAGGTGTTCCTCTCAGGGGGAGGGGTCGACCCCTGTGGCCCAGAAATATTAATTCGGCTCCATAGGAAGTTGCGGAGTATACCATCAGTCTCCAGCCAGCAGCCCAGTTGCTGGACGAGATATGATGAGAGATCAGCCTTGCCAAGGCTAATAGCTCTTCCAGAGTATAGCTCGACGTCCAACAGTTATGGGTTCAGGTTCAGATCGTGGAGGCAGAGCATTTTGGTGGGTCATCAGTCCGGAAGTTCCTTGCCAGGCAGGCTATCCAGATGCATGTAGTGCAGTGGAGCAAGGTGCGTTCTTGCGCTTGCACCTCGGACAGGATTGTTACTCTCGAGTCTCAACCCAAACCCATAACTTTTCCGCCAGAGCATAGGGACGTTGCAAAAGCATATAATCCAAGCAAAGCCACCTCTCAGGCATATTCTTTTACTTGTGGCTTCGAGTGAGCTGCATTAGGACATGCCATTTACATATGGTCTGTGGTCCACAGGATTACACGATGCGAAATTGAAAAACGGGGCCTTTTGGACCCCGCATCTTGAAAAGAAAATGTGACCTTTCTCCGTTGATCTGCAAGATCAGCGGCGGAGAGATCTTCGCACGTTCTTTTCAAGAAGCGGGGTCCAAAAGAACCCGATTTCTTTTTTGGGCTGGGCAATCGCAGGGGTGCTATTTACTCCCGGTACACACTACACTCCCCCCCCCAGCGTGATGCGCTGGGTTCGACGGGAGGTCTGCCGGCCAGTCGACGCCGGTCGGACCGGCAGGCTCCTGGTTGGGGGAGCGGCCCCCGGTCCGACCGATAACCGGCCCTGATCCGACCACAATTATGCCAAGCATTTAAATGAAAAAGTCCTCGTTTGGGTAAAGCTGGAAGTGATACATAAATCAGTTACACCTAAGACATATATAAATTATACGAGGCTGTAAAAGACATCAGGGAGAGTGGCAGGGATAAATATCAGAGGAGAAGAATAGAGAGATACCGATATAAGCTTTGATTCGCAACGTCATGAGAACACTACCGAGGACGAGAGGTTAAGCAAGAAGCAGCGCATACAAAAAATGTCTTTCCAAGAGCATGGGTCACCAGGATGACCGATACTCTACGGGTAATGTGCTACCCTCTCCCAAGTACTACTGTCCCATGAATCTTAATTGCTGCAGCCAATTACGAATGATGATTTTTCCACAAGCAACATGCCCCTGCCATGAACAGCAAGTCTGATACCAGCACAATTGTGGACCATGCACACGCTATTGTGCTCCTAACAAGTTACACAATACAAGGGCTTAAAAGGGTGAGGTTCATCTGCCACCAATCTTTTGATTGTAGAAGGCTCATACGACCCATTAGGTCTCAAAGAACCGCATGCTCTGGTCTCTCTCTCTCTCTCTCGTTCACGCACACACAAAGATGCACACACACACACACACACACACACACGAGAGAGAGAGAGAGAGAGAGAGAGAGAGAGAGAGAGAGAGAGAGAGAGAGAGAGAGAGAGAGAGAGA